AGATAGATAGATAGATAGATAGATAGATAGATAGATAGATAGATAGAACATACATACATACACACATACATACATATAGATAGACAGATACATAGACAGATAGACAAATAAATAGGGCAGACAAAGTCCTTACCCAGGGTGTTGACCAGTCACCTTTACTAGCTGTCACAGAAACCTTCTCTTCTAGAAAAACAAAGAGTTGGAAATATTTTAGAGAGGCGGAGACAATTTCAGAGATGCTGAATTTTAGTAAAGCTTAGCTATTTAATATAGTCTGAATTAACACTCAGTTTTTATATACCTGACTGCCTTCCCCAATACTAAATTCATTCTATGTCCTTTTATTTGGAGTTTTTAATTTCTTAATTGACTATAACTTTTCTGTAGATGATGATGCTTAAGTTGTATAAGTTTTGTGTGTGTGTTATACAATTGGTTCATTTTAAATTTTTTATACTTTTTTCCTTGTTTTTATTTTCATTTATAACAATTTATTCAATTTGTATCCCAGCTGTGGCCCCCTCCCTCATCTCCTCCGAACCACACCCTCCCTCCCTCTTCTCTCCCTATGCCCCTCCCATAGTCCATTGATGAGGGAGGTCCTCGTCCCCTTCTATTTGACCCTAGTCTATCCGGTCTCATCAGGACTGGTTGCACTGTCTTCCTCTATGGCCTGGTAAGGCTACATCCCCTAGGGGGAGGTGATCAGAGAGCCTGCCACTGAGTTCATGCCAGAGAAAGTCACTGCTCCCATTACTAGGGATCCCACTTGGAGATTGAGTCTATGGGCTACATCTGAGCCTAGGTTTTAGGTACTCTCCATGCATTGTCCTTGGTTGGGGTATCATTCTCTTCAGGGCCAACAGGGATCAATTTTTATGGCTCTTTTGGTCTCCTTTTGGAGCTCCTATTCCCTCCAGGTCTTTCTATCTACCCTGCTTTCATAAGATTACCTGCACTCTGCCCAAAGTTTGACTATGAATCTCAGCCTCTGTTTCAATACCTTGATTAGTAGAGTCCTTTAGAGGCCATCTGTGGTAGGCTCCTGTCCTGTTCCCTATCTTCTGCTTCCGAAGTCTATGATGTACGTCCTTCTGAATGAGGATTGAGCATCTTCCCTAGGGTCTTCCTTGTTGTTTAGCTTCTTTTTAATTTTATTTTTTATATTAATGACAGTTTATTCACTTTGTATCCCAGCTGTAGTTCCCCTCTCTCCTTCCCTCCCAATCCCACTCTCCCTCTGTCATTTCCTCCCAAGCCCCTCTCCAAGTCCACTGATAGGGGAGGTCTTCCTCCCCTTCCATCTGACCCTAGCTTATCAGGTCTCATTGTCCTTCTCTGTGGCCTGGCAAGGCTGCTCCCCCCACCCCTCAGGGAGAGGTGGTCAAAGAGCCAGCCACTGAGTTCATGTCAGAGACAGTCCTTGTTCCCATTACTAGGGAACTCACTTGGATACTGAGCTTCCATGGGCTATATCTGAGGAGGGGTTTTAAGTTATATCCATGAATGGTCCTTGGTTGGAGTAATCAGTCTCAGAAAAGACCCTTGTGCCCAGATATTTTTATACTGTAGCTATCCTTGTGGAGCTCATGTCCTCTCCAGGTCTTACCATCTCCCCCTTTTTTCATAAGATTCCCTGTACTCTGCCCAAAGTTTGTCTATTAGTCTCAGCATCTGCTTTTGATATACTGCTGGATAGAGTCTTTCAGAGACCCTCTGTGGTAGGCTCCTATCCTGTTTTCTCCTTCTTCCAATGTCCATCCCGTTTGTCTTTCTGAGTGAGGATTTATCATCTTACCCAGGGTCCTCTTTCTTGCTTGGCTTCTTTAAGTGTACAGATTTTTCTAGGTTTATCCTTTATTATATGTCTAGTATCCACTTATAAGTGAGTATATACCATGTGTGTCTTTCTGTTTCTGAGATACCTCACTCAGGATGATCTTTTCTAGTTCCCACCATTTGCCTGCAAATTTCATGATTTCCTTGTTTTTAATTGCTGAGTAGTATTCCATTGTGTAAATTACCATAATTTCTGTATCCATTCCTAAAGTGAGGGTTGTCTGGGTTGTTTCCAGGTTCTGGCTATTACAAATAAAGCTGCTACAAACATGGTTGAACAGATGTCCTTGTTGTTTACTTGAACATATTTTGTATATATGCCTAGGAGTGGTATAGCTGGATCTTGAGAAACACAATTCCTAATTGTCTGAAAAAGCACCAGAATGATTTCCAAAGTGGTTGTAGAGGTTTACATTCCCACCAGCAATCGAGGAGGGTTCCCCTTTCTCCACATCCTCTCCAGCATATATTGTCACTTGAGTTTTTTATCTTAGGCATTCAGATGGGTGTAAGGTGAAATCTCAGGGTCGTTTTGATTTGCATCTCCCTGATGACTAAGGACACTGAGCACTTCTTTAAGAGTTTATCTGCTATTCTGTATTCCTCTAAAGAGAATTTTCTGTTTAGCTCTGTACCCCATTTTTTAATTGGATTACTTGATTTGTTGCGTTATTTGACTTTTTTAAGAATATAGATTTTAGTATGTTTATCCTATATTATATGGCTAATATACACTTAAGAGTAAGTATATACCATACGTGTCTTTCTGCTTTTGGGTTACCTCACTCAAGATGATCTTTTCTAGTTCCCATCATTTGCCTGCAAATTACATGATTTCCTTGTTTTTAATAACTAAGTAGTTTTCCATTGTGTAAATGTACCACAATTTCTGTACCCATTCCTCTGTTAAGGGACATCTAGGTTATTTCCAGCTTCTGTCTATTACAAATAGAGCTGTTACAAATGTGGTTGAGCAAATGTCCTTGTTGTGTACTTGTGCATATTTTGGATATATGCCTAGGAGTGGTATAGCTGGTATAGTGGTAGCACTATTCCTAACTGTCTGAGAAAGCGCCAGATTGTTTTCCAAAGTAGTTGTACAGGTTTACATTCCCACCAACAATGGAGGAGGGTTCCCCTTTCTCCACAACCTCTCCAGCATGTGTTGTCACTTGAGCTTTTTTATCTTAGCCATTCTTATGGGAGTAAGGAGAAATCTCAGGGTTGTTTTGATTTGCAGCTCCCTGATGAGTAAGGATGTTGTTCATTTCTTTAAGCGTCTCTCTGCCATTCTATATTCCTTGACAGAGAATTGTTTGTTGAGTTCTATACCCCAGTGTTTAATTGGATTACTTGGTTTGCTGGTGTTTAACTTCTTAAGTTCTTTATATCTTCTGGATATTAGCCTTCATTCAGACATAGGGTTGGTGGAGATCCTTTCCCAATCTGTATGTAGGCTGTCCTTTGCTTTACAGAAGCTTTTCAGTTTCATGTTGTCCCATTTATTGGTTGCTGATATTAGAGCCTGTGCTGTTGGTATTCTGTTCAGGAAGTTGTCTCCTGTGCCAATGAAGTCAAGGCTATTCCCCACTTTTTCTTCTAACAGGTTTATTGTGTCTGATTTTATATGGAGGTCTTTGATCCACTTAGGCTTTAGTTTTTTGCAGGCTGATAAATATGGATCTATTTGCATTTTTCTGCATGTAGACCTTCAGTTAGACCAGCACCATTTGCTGAAGATGCTATCTTTTCTCCATTGTATGGTTTTGGCTTCTTTGTCAAAAATCAAGTATCTGTAGGTATGTGGATTTATTTCTGAGTCTTCTATTCGATTCCATTGATCCACCATTCTGTTTACCATACAGTTTTTATTACTGTTGCTCTGTAGTACAGCTTGAGATTAGGGATGGAGATGCCTCCAGAAGATCTGTTATTATAAAAGATTATTTTAGCAATTCTGGGTTTTTTTGTTTTACCATATGAAATTGAAAATTGTTCTTTCAAATCTGTAAAGAATTGTGTTGGTATTATGATAGGAATTGCATTGAATGTGTAGATCACTTTCAGTAGGATGGCCATTTTCACAATGTTAATCCTACCTATCCATGAGCACGGGAGATCTTTCCATCTTCTGATATCTTCTTCAATTTCTTTCTTCAGAGACTTGAAGTTTTTCTCAAACAGGTCTTTCACTTGCTTGGTTAGAGTCACCCCAAGGTACTTTATGTTATTAGTGGCTATTGTGAAGGGTGTTGTTTCCCTGATTTCTTTCTCAGCCCTTTTGTCTTTGGTATACAGGAGGCTTCTGATTTTTTTTTGAGTTGATTTTGTATCCTGCCACTTTGCTGAAGGTGTTTATCAGCTGAAGGAGTTCTCTGGTTGAATTTTTGGAGTCGCTCATGTATACCATCATATTATCTGCGAATAGTAAAACTTTGACCTCTTCCTTTCCAATTTGTATCCCCTTGATCTCTTTTAGTTGTCTTATTGCTTTAGCTAGGACTTCAAGTACTATGTTGAAGAGATATGCAGAGGATGAGCAGCCTTGTCTTGTCCCTGATTTCAGTGGGATTAATTTAAGTTTCTCTCTATTGAGTTTCATGTTAGCTATAGGCGTAATGTATATTGCCTTTACTATGTTTAGGTATGTGGCTTATATCCCTAATCTCTCCAAGACTTTAAATATGAATGGGTGTTGGATTTTGCCAAATGCTTCTTCAGCATCTAAGGAGATGATCATGTGTTTTGTTTTGTTTTGGTTTTTTCCTTCAGTTTGTTTATGTGGTGGATTACATTGATGGATTTCCATATATTGAACCACCCTGCATGCCTGAGATAAAGCCTACTTGGTCATGCTGGATGATATCTTTTATGTGTTCTTGGATTTGATTTGCAGGTATTTTATTGAGTATTTTTGTTCATAAGAGAGATAGGTCTGAAATTCTCCTTCTTTGTTGGGTCTTTGTGTGGTTCAGGTATCAAGGTTACTGTGACCTCATAGAATGAGTTTGGTAATATTCCTTCTGTTTCTATTTTGTGGAATAGATTGAAGAGTATTGGCATCAGCTCTTCTTTGAAGATCTGGTAGAATTCTATGTTGAAAACATCAGGTCCTAGATTTTTTTGTCAGGGAGACTTTGATGACTGCTTCTATTTCCTTGGGAGATATAGGACTGCTTAATCTACCTTAGCTTGGTTTAGCTTTGGTAAATGGAATCTATCAAGAAAATTTCCATTTCATTTAGATTTTCAAATTTTGTGGTGTATAGGCTTTTGAAATAAGACCTAATGATTCTTTGGTTTTCCTCAGTGTCTGTCGTTATGTCCCCATTTTTGTTTCTGAG